TTTTGGATTTTTGAATTTTTGCGAAAATCCGCGCCCCGGCACGCAAATTTTACGTGCAGCATTTAGTTGACTTAGAAGGGTTTTGCCCCACCCCCAAAGCGATTCACTCTCGAACCCCACACTGCAAACAGCCGCCTGGGCCCTTCCCAGACCCTTGACAGGATTTAGAAAGTAGAAACCTTGAATACTATTAGTGGATGATTCCCAAGACCTTCGAGGGGCAGCCACTTTGAATTTCATTCTAGATCCCTGCCTGAATCCTAAACCTGACCCCTAAACCTTAAACCCTAAGCCCAAGACCCTAGTCCCTAAACCCTATAAACCTTAAACCCAAAACCCAAAACCCTAAACCCTAAACCCAAAACCCCTCTCCCCGCAATCATGGGACTCGAAGCCAAGGCCAAGGCGTAGAGCCAGCTTTCTTAAGCTGTCGCTCGGAGTGGTTATTAAAGGGACTCTACTGGGAACCCCAAATAGGGAACCCCAACAATATAGCAGGAATATAATGGAATATAAGGACCCTGGTACGTATATTCCTATTATATACCTACTATATTCTCGGGGTTCCCTATTTGGGGTTCCCAGTAGAGTCCCTTTAGTTATGGGGCTTTCCCAAACTGCGGGGTACCTTTATGTAAGGGGGGATATAGGGGTTCTATAATGGGGATATGTATGCAGGGTATATACGGTTTGGGGCTTAGAGTTTCCAAAATTCGAGGTACACTTCTGCGGGTCTGCATAACATGTATCACAGCATTTTTGGGTCTATATTATTTGAACCCCACTACTTCTGGAAGCCAACGTACGAAGCTTAAGGTCAGAAATATACTTTCTCTAGTAGGGGCTGAGCATGAAGGGTGTTCTAGAGACCTTTAGGTTGGGCCTAGAATCCAAGGCTCCTGTATAGCTGGTATAACCCCTGACGCCCTCCTTGCGACCTAGCTTGGACCTTAAACCCCTAACCCTCTGGGATTCCCAAATATTCTCATGATAGGGACCCAAGGGTTAACCCTCAGTAGGGGTCCGAAGTGCCACGTAGCACCCTAAACCCCTAAGCTTTAAACCTTTACACACCTTCCCAAAAAGGCTCACAGCCCATATTTGTGGGCCCACACATCCAACTGTAGAGGGAAGCTTTGTTTCTGTTGCATGTAGGCTCATAGAGGAGGTACAGGGACAAGTTAGGACTTAGGGTTTAGAGGTTCGGGTTCGTTAGGGTCTGGGTTTAGCATCAAGAATCATATGGAAAATTGGCAACCGGGGTTTTGCAGGAATGTATGGGAATACCAACCTTATGGTCCATGATTTCTTAAGTAGGTCGGTTGCTCAGGCTCTGTCTGAGGATATTCATCTTTGGTGTGTTTCAGGGGGCCACTAATCCTTCAAACCCTTGCTGAGGGAGCCCCGGCATGAGCAGGCTATATTCATCCATAACGAGCATGTCTGCCAACTTTGTGCGTTTTCTACATACTTGGTTCCATACTCTTTGAAGGACATTGTATTTTTGGGCAGATCTTTGGCCCCTAAGCTTGAAATCCTTTCTTCAAGTACCCGCCTCCCCCCTCCCTCTCCGTTTTGGAAGGACACAGAGATTATGTAGGGATATCATATAGGGATAACCGGGAATGCATTGGGATAATGCTTACTCTCCTTTTTGGAAAGGACATACCGACTAAATAGTATATGTAGGGATAATATGATAGCATGAAGTATCAGCATGGATGCCCACAGGTGGCCCTCTTTTGACTACGGTCCTTTGCTGGGGCTTCTAAATATCCATCGTAGTCATGGTGATTGTAGCCGTCCATGGACACACCATCCCAACATGATTCAATACTGAACCTCAATAGTTTAGCGTTTAGGTTTAGTATTTGTTGGGGGGGGGCAGTCTGAGCTACAGCTGAAAGGAAAGTTTGCATTTCCCCGCTTGAACCCATTAGCACTTGCAGCTGCGCAGCAAGTAGGTTCCAGACAGAGGGCCCCTGCATGTCTATTCAGAAAGTTCACTATGTCGTAGAAATGACCATCGTTTCAGGGCCCGAGATTTTGCAAGATTTCCTCCGTGAGCAAACGCTGAACCCCGAAACCCTGACCACTACCCCTTGTCTTCCAAGGAACTTCATCCTTCTTTCTGGAAAGCCACTCTTCGATGGTCTGAAAAAGGTGCTTGCGAACTACCCTGCATCTCGCGTGAAGGCCAGGGCGTCTTATTGGAACAGCTGAGGTTGAGGCCTTTGAGCGACAAGGCCTTCAGACCTTTAGCTAGGGTTCAAGGGTTTTGAGTGATAGGGTTTAGGTTTTAGCTATGTTGTTCCTTTTGGAGTCTGGGATGTTTTTTTCTTATGAGTCTTTTCAGACCCCCCCCCCCTCCCCACAAAAAAACAAAACAAACAAACACATATATATATATATTTAATTTACACATACATACATATATATATACATATATATATATACTGCATTGAAGGGCCTAGGTAACGATTACTTCAGGAACAGGTTCAGGCGGCTCCAGGTGGCCACATGAAATTAGGATGTCCTTAAAGGGGGTCCAAGGGGGGTAGGTAACCTACTTGGAGGTCCGTTTACTTATAACCTACTTTGTACCTGTAGTTATAACCCTAATATATTATCCAGGGTAACTGTAGTTATGGGACTTATGATTAGGTTATAACTACAGTTTCTACTTAGGTTATAAGTAAAACGGACCTCCAAGTCTTAGTAGAAATCTCCATTACATTGCGAGCGCAGGCGGGAACCATTAATCGATTGCAAGTGTGTTGGCACACTTGGCACACTTGCTTTTCCGGATAAATTAACCGATTGCAAGTGTGCTGGCACGCTTGGCACACTTGCTTTTACAGCACACTTGACACACTTGGTCCACGTCCCTGAGTAGGTCAAGTGCGTCAAGTGGGGTGCAAGTGGGGCAAGCGTGCTGCAAGTGGGCTGCAAGTGGACCAAGTGGGCTGCAAGTGGGCCAGGTAGGACAAGTGTGCCGCGATTGGGCCAACTGTGCTGCAAGTCTGTCAAGTGGGTTGCAGGTATATCAAATGTGTCAAGTGGGGTGCAAGTGGGGCAAGTGGGTCAAGTGGGCTGCAAG